TCCTACAACTCTAGCCCCGAGACTCTGAGCTCCCTCAGCAGACACCCATGGGATACACACACCACCCACACCAAGCAAACGCACCAATGCAGCTGTGTGGAAAAAAAGCCACCTTTATTTTAAGCCATTAGGCTTTAAGGTTTATAATGCAACAATGAGAAATTGGAACATGTGGATTATTCTACCCAATTCAGCTAGCCTAATTTTTCATTTCAAACTGTAAACAATGAAAAACCATGTGGATACACCTGGTTTTAGTCAATGTACCCTAGCAACGCTTCACTGTCCTTAGCGACCAGCTAGCCTTCTCTGCTCCCCACCTTAAAGATGAAAGCTCTCGGCTTTCTCCTCCCTTACTCTTGCTCGCTCTCAACAGCTGCTTTTATTAAACACCCTGGCTTATGAACTTATGACTGCTAACATATGCTGTATGGTTTTAAATCAATGAACAAATGGAATTTGCCTGGGAGGTTGTTCTCGGTTCTGAAGCTGCAAATCAGTTCATGGTGTTCTGATGGAGTTATTTGAATGGGTCATCAGGCCCAAGTGACCATGTCGAAACAGCTACTGCTCCTTCTAATGAATACTGTGAGAGAAAATGGCCTAATTACTGAAATAAGGTTTATCTTTAAGAACCATGGGCCTGAGAAGTTAGAGGCTTAGGAGGGACCTGGATATAGTATTGTTCTTTTCCAACCATGGAGATATTGACAATCCAGGGGAAAAAAGGCAGAAGCAGGCAGATCTCTGTGAGCTCAAGGCCAGCCTGATCTACAGAGTGTGCTGCAGGACAGTCGGGGTTATACAGTAAATACTTGTCATGAAAGGCCAAAAATAAATAAATAAAACCAAAAACTTTCATGATATAAATATGAAGAATTTTAAACTGACTGTATTTTGACTTGGGATATCAGCTTGCTACAACACAATAGGAATGTCAAATTCAATTTTGTAGGTATTTTATAGTTTTGTTAGTATTTTATAGTTAGAATGAAATATACTCCATATATTGCTATTTAATGTTCTGTCTTTCACGTTTAGCTAAATGATAACTATAATAAATGAATCCACAGGAATCCCTAGATAACAATCTTGGAAAACAATTAAGTGTAGCTGTTCTGTTTCTACCAGAGGAAAGAGAACTGTCAGTAACATTAGTAGCTAAGGCAGTTAGTTCAGATCATTTGTAAATACTTAGGCCCAAGCAAGGCTGCAGGACCCACTAGAAGCCAATGTAACGGCTTGGTGGGAACTGGCTTGGTGGGAACTATGGGCCGAATCTAGGAGTCCTTGTTCTTGCCAGTTATGTAGAGAGCTCAGTTAGATTTGGAAACAATTACTGTCTGTCTCAATTTGGAGGGCAAACCAAAGAGGTTAGCCTGGCTCTAATTCCTAATCCTTCTGGGGGACGATCTTGCTTGCTGATGTGAAGAAACACACTTTAACAAAGGGGACTCAGGAGTCGCTAGGCAACAAGAGATGAGGGGCGCAGGTGGCTTGGCTGGCAGTGTAAACCAGACCTCTGAGAAATACTCATAGCCCCAGTATCCCTATACTCAGTCCTGGGCCTCCCGTGCAGTTAGCGGGGGCATATGACAAAATCAGAGAAACAAGACTACACTCAGGCCACCAGCAAAGCCCTTTTACCCCCAAATAAAAGCATGAATCCTGTTAGGTGGCTGGGATGATTCATCTACTTAACTGGATGAGAAACGCCTAGAAGGTTTAGTAAAGCAAACCCCGGGCCGTGTTTCCAGAGACAATCAGATCATGAGGGTTCTGACCTATGGGACACTGGCTCCTGGGAAGAGAATTCTGGAAGGAGGGGCCTGCTGGAGATGGGCCCCGAGGGCAGTGCCCGCCCATAGAGTTAGATCTTATCCTTCCTGTCATGGCTTCACTCTTGTTCCCATCCACCAGGGTATGAGGCACTCTGCTCTGCTTCCCGGCTACCACAACTTCACACCACATGCTCCTGCCACCACGATGCTCTACTCACAAGGGTCCAGAGTCAACAGTCAAGGACTATGGACTGAGTGAGATCTAAGCAGCTAAATGGAGTCCTAAGGCAGACAGGAAATGCACCTGGCCTTTCCCACTCAATCCACCTCAAAGTTCTGTGTCCTTTAGGATATTGTTAAATAGGTAAATGATAAATAATGTTCAGTTACTTTTACCCACCTCCTACCAGCACTTCCCAATTTTTAGAAAATAAGAGGGAGACACACACACACACACACACACACACACACACACACACACACACACACACACACAGATTATATATATATGGCCTGACATGCTCCTATCACTTGTACTGGAGAAGACAACACACTGAGCCTTAGGCAGAGGCACCATCATGAAGGCCCTCCATGCTGTCCACACCACAGAGTGTCTTCCCTTCCCCGGACATCAGGCTGAGCTCCTCTAGGTTATGGAGCCATTAAGAAACAAAGGGGTTCTAACCCACAGTAATCCCGATGAGGGCTTAGAAGCAGAGGTGGGGTTCCCATTCTCCCAAAGTTCTGATGAAATTGGCTGTGGTCACTCACAAAGCTGGATCAATCATCAGCTGGATCAAAACTTCAGTGGTATTTTCCAAAGTAGAAACAGAAGAGGGACTAGGGAGAGGCCAGGAATTCTACCAATTCCATGTTAAATTTAAAAAAAAAAAAATTAATAGATTTTTTTTTAAAAAAAAAAAAAAGAAAAAGAAAAGGATACATCTCAGCAGGAACAGGACAACATGTTTTGGCAAATTTCTTAGATCACAGCCTACAAAATCCAGTAGCTGTTCTAGAGCAATGTCCTTGAATTAACCAGGGCTTCTCCTCTAAGCAGGCACTGAATGAACAGCTCCACAGCTGACGAGGACCATATGACTCAGAACCCAAGTGCACAATGGAACACAGCATTCCATGTCCTGGTTCTGATGAAGAATGTGCCTCAAGAACAGCCTTAGGAGCCTCCATGGACTCTGCAAGAAGTGCAGGAATCGAGCAAGGGACAAGGAACAACATTTACAGAAAAATGAATACCAATCAGCTCCCTTTAAAGAGGCAATTCTCGGGAGTAAGAAGCACTCGGGTGGGGAGCGGTAAGGAAAAAAGGAACAAGTTTAAACAGACCATCATAACACAACAGCTTCCAAAAATTTAGAATCAAACCTGTAGACCCAGAAATGTCTGGTCATCTACACTGACTTTATATGAGTAAGAATTCTCTTTTTAGCTTCCAAACAAATGGCACCCCCACGTAAAATAGAACATCACCATTTACTTAAGGAGCACATATGTTTGAACTAGATATCCAAATTACTGACTCATGCTGGTGACTCAATTATACTAAGTGAAAGGCTCCAGAAAAGAAAATTAGGAACTATGGAAAAAGACAGGGCATTCTCTTTGAAAATGTCACTAAACACCTAATGACGCACTGGACAGCCCTCAAGGCTGGAGTGAGTGGAGTCGCCAGCAGCACCCTACCCAGCACATTTCCTGGGGGCACTTCCTCCAGATCTTCCAGCTCCCTTCCCATCAGAAGATACAGGTTCTCCAGAGTGCAGCATGCCATGTGGGGGACAGGAGGCAGGTCCTCCAGCGGAGCTGAGAAGCCCAGTGGAACCTGCCAGAGAAAAACGATGGAAAGCAAGTGAGGAGACGAGGGGGGTGTCACGGGGCCCTCAAGTTTTTAGTTAGCAGCGAGACTCTGTGAGGTCACCTTTTGTCCAACCAAAACACGCAAAGCTGAAATGTTATTTTCTATTCTCCGTGGGTTATGATAAAAAACAAGTCACATCTGACGAGTAAGTTCTGAAACACTAAAACTTCTCACTTATTTAAAATGTGTCTAAATCCCCAGCTAACAGCTTTGAGGTTATTATACTTTATATATAAAGCTTCTCCCGTGACCTGGGCGCTCCCCTTCTGCTGGCCCAGAGCCCCTTGTTAATATGTATGAGCATTATTCCATGCAACAGTTCTCATGACTCTACCACGTTTGTCCCAACACTCATGACTACCATTATAATTTAAAACTGCCGGGATCTTCCTGAGAATGTTCTGAAAATCGTTCAACAAGAACTCTGCTAGTCAGACACATGAAACTAACCAATAAAGACGCCATGAAAAAGCTGAGCACCGGCTAGGTATGTATGCCGCAGTGGTTAATCTGAAAGGGAGCATATGCTGAAATACTAGGAACGCTGAAGAAAAGACAGAACACACGTGCATAAAACCACACGCGAGAACGGATTTATGAGCCCCCTACTTCATTATTTATTCTTAAGGAGACACTGTCATGAATGATTCAAGGTGTGAAGTTTTGTGAGTGTTCAGAAATATATCCTCCACATCCAAGTACCCAGGAAGGATTTCAATCAACCAATCGTCTTTGGTGGCCACAGGGCAGAGCTAGTACTAAGATTGAGTAAAACGTCTTAGCTCTAAAATGTAATATCAAGACAACTGACATCACAAGCACAGACTGACTGTCAGAAATGGAGCAGAACAAGAACACCCATGGAGGCTCAAAAGCAAGGGAGACTGGGAGCCTGAGGAAAGAGATGGCTTTTCGACACGATACAGCTAATGTCCCCGTTCTGTATGACTGCAACTCTCAAGGGCAGCTCTGAAAACAACACGGCAGGAAATCTAGATGTAAGGAGCACACCACGCCTGATGCCACAGGCCTATAATCCAGGGACTTGGGAGGCTGAGGCAGAAGGATTACAGTTCAAGGCCTGCCTAGGTTACAGAATGAGCTCAAGGCTATCCTAGGCAACTCAGTGAGACCCCGTCCCAAAATAAAAAGTAAAAACAAAAAAAAGGCTGTGGCTGTAGCTCAGTACCTGCCACGCACATGGCCCTGGGTTCAATCTCTAGCAGTACGTGCACACACAGCACACGTCCATGAGCTGCGCACGCATGCTCACTCTCTCCCACCCCCTTCCTGGGAAGCATATTCTTTCCTAGGTGATCCTGCAAAGGAGAACAGCCCACCAACACCCTGATGACAGCAGTATAAAATCCCAAGCACACCGACACCCAGCTAAGTCAGACCCAGCCCCTAAGTCTTAGAAAGTATGAGCTGATAACCTCCACTCTTCTAAACTGCCAGATATGTTATGATCAGTAACACTCAGCAACAGAAAATAACACAAAGAACATAGGTAGGATCTAGTAGGTCTGAAATATTTCACATATCCTTTTTCAAAAGCATATCAGACTGGGATTCCTGTGGCTGTGACTCCATGGAGTCACTTGTCTTTTGTGTGGCTTCGCTGCAGACACATACGTAACCAGTTCCACCCTGTAGTCTCAGCAATAGATGATACATAGATGGTGATTAGGAGTGCACGTGGGATTTGTAACAGCCAGTAAGTGGGTGCTTCAGAGGACAATCCTTATCACTGGACAGTTTAGAGAGTGCGTGTCTCTCAAGCTAAGAACTACTAAGCTCACAGCAGATGTGCAGGCTGTAACACTGCGAGCTTCCCACATTGCCCAAGTGAGCGCACACCAAGTACTGTGCTCTGCTGCACAGCCTGGCAAGGCCTGCCTACCCACCATGCAGCACGGCAGTGAACGAACTGTGAAGAGAAGAGGTGAGGGCAGACTTCCTCCAGCTGCTCCCTCGTCTCCGACCTGCATCTAACTGCACTCTCCTGGTCACCTACAGATTAGCTGCTTCCACGAGGCCAGGAGGGTCATGTCACTCATGTTGAGCTGCTTCTCGCTGGTCCTGCCTGGTGCTCTGGTGTCTCTCTCATCCATGTTTAACCCCAGTGCCTGTGTCTGGTGTTGCCTGATAATTCTGGCCTATGGACTCCTCCGGCCCTGACTCGGGCATTTCTCCATGCCGGCTGGCTGGCTGCTCTCGGACAGGCCTGAACAGACTCCAGACTATGCAGGCTGCACCTCCCACCTGCTTACTTCCTATACCTTTTCTCTGGATCATTGCGATTCTGGCTCTGTAACTTCTTGAAGATTGACCATTGCTTTGGCTCCAGAACATCGTCTACATCTATTTCATCCCCCCATCCCAAAGCGACTCTTAACCTTGCTTGATGTGTAAAAAGGCCTGAAAAGCTGTTCACTGGCTTATATGGTTCCCACATGCTACTCTGGGAGCCATTTACACAAAACGTCACCAAGGCAACACACCAGCTAACACAGGACCTGGGGTGCCATTGCTCATTCACCTATTCTTCACCACACCCAGCCAGTCTCCAAGTTTCCAGACCCTGGAAAGGACGCCCTTGAATTTGACTCCTAACTCTTACCCGGTGTAAAAACTCAACAGGGCTGTACTTGGGTCCCAGGACAAAAATCTTCTGTCCTCTTCGAGCTCTGCCACTGAACACACGAGCGAATGCAATGAAGGCCTCTTGGCTGCTTTCTTCTTGGGGCACAGGCCGAGAGCTAACACTTGCCACATCTGGCTCATCACCTGCCAGGCACAAAAAGATATTCAGTGCCATGAATGCTCACTTCAACCCAGGAACTGTGGGGACATACAGAAGAAATAGTGACCATGAGTATCTGGTCGACGAATAGAAACAACATTGATAAAAACCATGACGAAAGTTAAAAGATAAGGGACAACGTACCGGGTTAAGCAACAGTGTCAAGTACTTCGCACCAAAGCCTGGGCAGGAATGCCGTACCTTTTGGCTCATCTCCCTGGGGACTTGTTTCATCTTGTTTCATCACTCCATCCTGGGTGGGAGCCTGGGGTGCCTGGCCCTGGGCTCCTGCGAGCTTCTCTGCGTGTCTCTGTCGTGCACGTTCACGTCTCTGGGCCATTTCTTCTTGAGTGAGAGGCCTACAGGATGTCACAAACGTGTTATGAGCTGGCAGCACCAGGTACCTCTCAGCTCCTTCAAGAAGAACAAGGGCTCATATGGCCACAGAGGAGATGACTGGTCCCCAAGTCCCCCAAGCAGAGGCTTCTCCAAGTTCCCTCCAGCACAAGCAGGAAGTGGAGCAGGCTCTCTGGCCGGCTGTATCTCCAGCAGCTCTGAGCGTA